GCGGCGCTACATCCAATGGGCAGATGCCGAGGAGGTTTGCCGAAGAAACAGGAAGGGGTGAGCAAGCGCTCCTCCCCTCCAGGGAGGTCCTACAACAACAAGTTCCACAACAACAAGTCCTTGTCGATCGAGGGGACTGAGGAAAGAGGCCAAGCGAGGAGAGTGGGAGGAAGAGGCCTGCCGATGTGAAGAGGCCCATGGCGAAGAGTGGTCCTGTCGGTCCTTTGTCCGCCTCGGCATCAGCAGAACGCAATTGAGGAAGAGCACCTCACCCGACTATTTCTTCCCCGGTGGCAGGTCCGAGAGGGGGACTCCATCAGCGAGGAGGGGGTCGACAAGGCCCTGATGAGAGGGTGATCCCTCCGAGGGACTGATATGACATGATGCAAATTGACCCCACACTCATTCACGATGATGGGCTCACCTACCTGGCCGAGGTAAGTTTCTTATCTTGTACTTCATTCTTTCTTGAGTTCTGCTTGCTTTATTGATGATGCATGGTGCAGGACTGCCACCAGTTCGTCGATCTAGGGAACCGAGTAGAGCTCCTCTGCGTTCATGTTATGAAGCTCGAGAAATTGAATGAGAAGCTCCAATTGAGGGTTGGCACAACAGAGAGCAACCGGGATGAGGCTCAGGCGGCTCTAAAGGAAGAGAAGCAACTCCGGAAGACGCTGGAGGATGACCTAAAGGCCGAGCAGGCTTGGCTTGGCTGAGTGCAAGAGGCCTTGAAGAAGTCCGAGGAGGAACGGGCTCGCCTCAATGAGGTAGCGTTGGAGGTCCAAAAGCGGGCAGTGGATGTCAAGGTGCCGGCGGTGGAAGCCATTAAGAACTGGAAGCGAACGAGGGAATACCAGAAGTGCCTTGCCGATTACGGGTCCGTGACCTACCTCTTGGGCATCGATGACACCAAGAAGGCCATCATGAAGATGGTACTGGACTTCAGGTGGATGAGTTGGAGGTGTACCCAGATTCCCTCACTCCTGAAGAGACAACCAAGGTCCCTGACAGGGCTGCTGATGGTGTCGAGGACTTTGTTGTTTAGTTGGCTTCCTATTCCCATTTTTTGTACTGCCTTTGCTCTCTTTCTTTTTGTATGTGCTCGGCCTTTGAGGCCGAAGAAAAACTTTTTGTAAATGTATATACTATCCAAATGAATGAAATGAAGAGCATTTTTTGTACATAGTGTTCTCTTCCTTTTCTTCTTCGTTTTCTCCTTTTTTTTTACCGAGGGGTCCCTGTCCCTCCCTTGGAAGAGATCACAAGGCAAAAAATAGCTCGTAATGGCTCATTACATGCTCGCTTTAGGTAATTGGGGGAAGAGGCCGAGGCAGAGCTACACGACCAAGGTGCAGCTCACCTGGCTTGCTTCCTCCTAAGTGTTTACTTAGACAAGGTCAAGGCGGCCTGTTGAAGCAGGGGGGAGAGGCCAAGGCGGAACTGTGCGACCAAGGTGCAGCTTGCCTGGTCTACTTCTTTCCTAAGTGCTTGCTTCGGCAACTCCAAGGTGACCCTCCGGGATGACCGAGGTCTCAGGCCAAGGCGAACCGCCGAGTTAGTCGGGGTAGCCATCTTTCTTTTGTTGCTCTAAGTGTGTGAAACCAGGAATTCTTTTGCCACCGAGGTGGGTGATGAGGCAGTCCTGGTATACTTATGTTTGGTGAGGTGTTGAAGTTGGGTGTTCGTTATTGGCCTGAGGGAAGCCATATACCCTGGTGATGGTCCGACATGAGTGCATGGTCCTCAGGGGAGGATGTGCATATCGACCGGTCGCGAATACGAGGGGTCCTGGGGACTTAGTGGGAACACACACTAGGCATTGAGCCAAAGAGGAACTTTGCATTATTCATTCATTGTTTGGCCATCAAAGTTTACAATCACTGGTAATACATCCGGAGATTCTCCGAGTTCAACGTCTGAGGGACGGGTCTTCCATCTAAGTGCTCCAGGCGAAAGGTGTCGGGGTCGGTGACCTACTTGACTTTGTAGGGACCTTATTAGTTGGGGCTGAACTTGCCAACACCTGGCTCGGGGACCATGACCTTCTTGAGGACGAGGTCTCCTTCTCAATAGTCTTTCCTTCACCCTCGAGTTGTAGTAGTGGACCACCTGTTGCTGGTAGGTGGCCACCCTGATTCGCGCCTTTTCTTGGGCTTCTTCCAGCTGGTCTAGGTTTGTCCTAAGTGCTTCGGTGTTCTTGGCTTTGTCGTACGCTTCGATACGGAGTGCCGGCTTGTCGATCTCTATTGGGATAACTGCTTCGATCCCGTAGGTTAGGCCGAACTGGGTCTCTTCCGTGGCCGTTCGAGGTGTTCCGATATGCCCGTAGGACATTGCTCAGTTCGTCAGCCCATAGGCCTTTGGCCCGGTTGAGCCTAGTCTTTAGTCCATCCAAGATAGTCCAATTGGTTACCTCGGCTAGGCCGTTTGTTTGGGGATAGCCTACTGAGGTATACTGTTGCTTGATGCTGAGGGAATCACACTATTCCCAGAACCTAGCATCGTCAAATTGCTTTCTGTTGTCAATGACTAACATGTGGGGGAGGCTGAAGCGGCAGATGATATTCTTGCAAAAGAAGTTTTGGATTGCTCGAGCCGTGATGGTAGCCAAGGGTTCGGCCTCGACCCACTTAGTAAAGTAGTCTACGGCGACAATGAGGTATTTCCTACCTCTCGTTGCCTGAGGGAAGGGGCCAAGGAGGTTCATTCCCCATTTGGAAAAGGGCCAGTGGCTGCTGAGGGTTGAGAGCGTTGTTGCTGGCTGATGGCATAAGGTGGCATCTCTGTGGCACTTATTGCATCTCCGTACCAACTCAGTTCTGTCCTTCTTGAGCATCGATCGAAAATACCCTTGTCTTAGTGGCTTTTGAACCAGGGTTTGGCCGCCAATGTAGTTGTCGTAGATGCCTTCGTGAATTTCTCGAAGTACATATTCACCCTCTTCCAAATGGAGGCATCAAAGGTAGGGTAGGGTGAATGATCTTCTGTACAAATTTCCTTCAAGTTGAGTGTAATGGGCTGCCCGACGTTGGAGTCTCTTGGCTTTGTTCCTGTCGTCTGGTAGTCGTTCGGTTAAGAGGAAGTTAATGATGGGGTCCATCCATGACGGCTCAGTTTCCATTGGTAAGACCTGTGTTTCTTTTCTTCTATGGATGGATGATTTAGCTTTTCTACACGGATGGTGCGGTTGAGGGCTGCATCCGAGGTGCTTGCCAACTTAGAAAGAGCGTAATCTCTTGCGTTCTTGGCTTGTGGGACCCGTTGCAATGAGAAGAGTCGGAAGTGGCGAGCTAGCTCTTGAGCTTTGGTAAGGTATTTGGCCATGCTCTATTCTCTGGCCTCGTATTCATCGTTGACTTGATTCACCACTAGTTGCAAGTTGTTGAAGACTTCGATATGCTGGGAGCCGAGTTCCTTGGTGAGCTGCATTCTAACGAGGAGGGCTTCTTACTCGGCTTCATTGTTGGATGATGGAAAGTTGAATCTCAGCGTGTAGTCTACTATGGTGTTATCTGGGGTGAGGAGAGGCTTGCTCCACTTCCCTTGTCGTTGGACGGCCCATCAACAAAGACCTTCCATACGGGCTAAGCTTCCTCATCCGGCCGATTCCCTTCTTTTGCTTCATTTTCTGGGGCTCGACTGAAGGTGCATTCTACCACAAAATCTGCCAAGGCTTGTGCTTTGATTGCGGGCCTCAACTGGTACTTAAGGTTGAGCTCTAAGAGTTCGATGGACCACTTAGTCAAGCGTCCCAAGGTCTCGGGTTTGGTGAGGATATCTCTAAGGGGCTGATTCGTTAGGACCATAATGGTGTGAGCTTGAAAATATGGCCTGAGCTTCCTTGCCGAGACTACGAGGGCGAAGGCCAACATCTCTACTTCGTGGTACTTGGTCTTGGCATCATAGAGGACCTTGCTGACATAGTATATCAGCCTTTGTATCCTATCTTCTTTTACCAAGGCCGAGTTGACGGCCTCGTCCTCGGCCGATAGGTACAAGTACAAGATCTCTCCTGGTGCAGGCCAAGCGAGGAGGGGAGGTGGGGCGAGGTATACCTTCAGCTCATCAAAAACACGCTAGCACTCCTCCGTCCATTGAGAATCTTTTAGTTTCTTGAAGTGATTGGCCGAAATCGACATGAAGCGATTGAGGGCAGCTATCTGGCCAGTGAGCCTTTGAGTCTCCTTCATTGACCGAGGGGGTTCCATATCCAGTACGACTTGTATCTTCTCAGGGTTAGCCTCAATGCTTCTTCGAGTGACGATGAAGCCTAAGAACTTGCCCGAGGTGACGCCAAAGGAACACTTGCTATGGTTAAGTTTCATGTTGAACTTTTGCAAGGTGTTAAACGTCTCGGACAGGTCCGAGGTGTGTGATTCGGCTCATAGGCTCTTCACCACCATATCATCCACGTAGGATTCAACGTTCCTCCCCATCTGATTCTTGAACACTTTGTTGATGAGGTGTTGGTAGGTAGCCCTTGCATTCTTAAGGCCGAAGGGCATCACTTTGTAGTAGTAAGTGTCGTGCTCAGTGATGAATGAGGTATTCTCCTAGTCTTCGGGGTGCATCTTTATCTGGTTATATCCAAAGAAGGCATCCATAAAGCAGAGTAGCTCGTACCCTGCAGTGGCGTCGATGAGGTGGTCTATCCTCGGCTAAGGAAAACTGTCCTTAGGGCAAGCTTAGTTAAGGTCTGTGAAGTCAATACAGATCTGCCACTTCCCATTAGCTTTCTATAACAAAACCACATTTGACAACTAGTTAGGGTAATGTACCACTTGGATGAAGCTGACGTCGAGTAACTTGTCAATTTCCTCTCCTATGACCTTCCAATGCTCTGGTGCAAAGTTCCTATTCTTTTTTTAAACTGGCCTAGAGCTTCAATCCATGCTCAGCCTGTGAGTAATGATCGAAGGGTCAATTCCGGGCATATTAGAGGCGGAACAATAAAAGACATCGACATTAGTTTTGAGGAAACTTACCAGTTTGGAAAGGCATTATGGGGGATGGTTGGACCCGACGCGGATTGTCTTCTTGGGGTTGGCCTCGTCCAGGGGAACCGAGACAAGGTCCTCGGCCAGTTGCCCTCGGCTTGCTAGTTCCTCCCTGAGATCAAGGCTCTCTAGTGACAGTGTTTCCTTGTTCTTACCCTTTAGTGCTGCCACATAGCACTGGCGGGCGACTTGCTGGTCCCTTCGAATGACTCCGATGCTGTGTTCTATGAGGAGCTTGAGGGCGAGGTGGTAGGAGGACATGACTACCTTGAGTGCGTGGAGGGTTAGTCTCCCCATGATTGTGTTGTAGGGCAATTCGATCCTCACGACCAAGAACTCATTCATCCACGTCACTTGATGTGGCTCGGCCCCTACCGTGATAGGTAGGGTGATTCTTCCCTCCGGTTTGACTACATTTCCGAAGAAGCCAACAAGGGGGATGTCAGCAGGCTGGAGGCACTCGGGCACTAGCTTCATCTTCTCTAACACTTCATAGAAGAGGATGTTGGCCGAGGAGCCACTGTCGACGAAGATCCTCTTCACTACAAAGTTGGCAATGATGGCTGAGACTACAAGGGCATCATCGTAGGGGACTATGATCCCTTTCAGGTCCTCGTCTATGAAGATGAGGGCCTCCAGATACTTTGGCTTTTTGGGAGCCTCTAGAGACTTTGGATTCTTGGGGGCAGGCCCTTGGATGTTCAGCTACCTAGCATAAGCCTTGTGGGCTGAGGCTGAGGCCCCACCCGAGGTTGTGCCCCTAGCGATGACGTCGATGACCCCGGCTACTTGCTGGTGTTGTTGCTATTGCTACTGCTATTGGGAGGACGAGGCACTGGGCTCACCTCTGACGAACTTATTAAGGTGCTTACGTTGGATGAGGGACTCTATCTCGTTCTTTAATTTGTAGCAGCCCTCAGTATCGTGGTCGGTGCCACTGTGGTACTTGTAGTATTTTTTCAGATTTCCCCTCTTGGGGTTCCTCTTCATCTTCCTTGGCCACTTCATGTATTTCTCCTCATTGACCTGCATCAATATTTGGGTCCGGGTGTAGTTGAGTGGCGTGTACTGACTATAAGCCAGGGTCGAGGCCGGTGGCTTCTTATTGTCCCTATTGCAGTTGTTGTTGCAGTGGTCTCTTCTCTTCCTTTTCTTCTCTAAGGGTTCGTTGTTGCACTTGATTTCCCTTTCTTGGTTGTCTTCGGCCAAAGCCTCCTTGGCCCCAATGTACTTCAGGGCCTTCTTGAGGAATTCCATCTTTGTTTTCAATGGGGTCTTGGCGAAGAATCAGGCGAGGAATAATTTGGCAAACTGCTCCGACAAGTTGATCGACCGAGGTGGGAGGCTAGAGAACCACCGACGAGCAGCCCCCTTGAAGGTGTCTTGGAAGGTCCAGCACGTTAGTGCATTGGAATACCCATACAGTATCATAAGGGCTTGGAAGCTCTCTAGGTGATCGTCGGAGTTCGTGTTCCTATTGTACATCTCTAACGTGGGAGCTTTGAAGTGCTGGGAGAGCGGCTGAAAGATGATATCTAGGGTGAAGGCGTCCATCCTCCCCATCGGATTTCTCTAGCCGGTCGAGGTGTCAGCTCGGCTCTCCCTAACTTGGCGAAGTTCATCCTTGACGGCTCCGAGCTCGGCTCATAGTTCCGCAATCCGAGGGTCGGGTGGAGCCTGTGTCCCATCCTTGTCTTCATGGGCTCGGCGGGGATCGATGCAAATCCCAGAGTACTCGGAAGTGGGGCCATGCCCTTCCCATCTAGCACGGCGATCATTCAAGATGTCACGGAGGTCCGAGACCTACAGGGGAGAGGCGCAGCGCCGATGCTCTACTCTTGAGTTGAAGCTTTGGCATCTGCCTTTGTCCTAGGGGTTTTCCCTTTGGTAGTGATGGTGCTGCTCAGAGGGCTGGTGACTGTTGTTGGACCATGCTAGCTCTTCCTCCCTTCGGCTGGGAGGCCTTGCACTCCTCCAGGGTGGGCTGGCGGGGCGACTGCTTTCGGATTTTGAGAGCTCGGCATGCTGAGGGTCAGCGGGGCCGAGGGCTTGTGGTTCTGATGAGAATGAAAATTATCATATCTTTATCCCTTAATGTTCAGTCTTTTATACTTATTTAGTGCCTAATTGACTCACTATTCTTATATTTCGGTTTAGGGCACGAAAGGAGGCGTTAGGTGGAAAATAAGGCTAATTGGGTAATTTTGCATAGTTTCGGCACCGTGTGGTAATTTGGGAATAACTCTCCCATCCGGACTCCGATTGAGATGATTAAAGATGCATTGGAAATATAAGGAAAAACTATACAACTTTCATGTTTTGAGTTTTGATAGATTCGGTCTGTATTGAGGTCAAAATCAGGCCCGAATACTAAGCAAACTCGTAGTAGAAGCCCAGTTCGCAGAGAAGCCTTGCAGCGGCCCAAATTGTTGAGAAAGCCCAATATGAATTTAGCATGCAAGAATAAGAATTCGGCTGAATCATCAAAGAATTTTATTAGATTCAAATTCTTGTTGTATTTCTAAAAGGATAAAGAAAGAGAGAGTTAGAGTCCATCTTAGTTAAAGATTTTTGTTTAGAGATAAGGATAAGATTAGATCTGAATTAATCATTATCCCATTAGGAAATAGGACTTTCTATTTTTGAGAAAGAACTCCAAAAAGGAGTTGGAAACAGCCCCTCCTCCTAAAGCTATATAAAGGGGGGCAGACTAGCACCCAAGGAATCATCAAATCCTCCAAGAGAGCTTCAACCTTCGAAGAGAGCAATTAGAAACCAAGGAGGAAGAAGCAGAGTTTGCCCCCTCTCATCTGGAAGCTATGATTTCATCATGAAGTGTGTGTAAGGTTTTATTTTCTGGTTGAAAGGTTAGGGAAGCTTTGATTCTATAAACATTGTGAGATCTAATTGATTTTTATTTCAGTTCATTGTTTATTGGTATTCATATGTTTTCTGCGATTTCCTGTGAAGCTTATTCTTATTGATTAAGCAAGAAGGTGCCCTTGCTCATTCAACAAGAATAATCTAGGGCCGATTGAACCTCTAATTTCGTATATGATTGGTAGGTTTAATCATGGTGGCAACTAACATAATTGATTATAGAAAAATTTTTGATTTATCTTAGGAAGATATATGATCTGGTTTAAACGGTCCGAGCTTGTGAGATCATTGACTAGAATTGGGTCTCTCCCCTCTTAATGCTATTAATAGATTAAATCCTAAGAGATTGTTTAGGACTGTCTATTAATAAGAGAAGCAACTAAAGAGCTCATTTTGGTTGCCGAATAATACGAGTAGAGGCTGGCTGTTAGAGCTTGTTAATGGCTATAACCAATTTATTCATAAACATATGAATTTATCCTTGCATCGATGATCAATGATAAGAATCAAGGCTGAACTTGTCCCTTCAACCAAAAGCTATCTCCCATCGATTTAATCCTTGCTTTATTTTATTTTATTTCATTTTCCTTGCTTTTATAACAACCCCTCTATTTTCTTTTCTCTTGGAAATAAATCCACCCAATCCCTATGGAGACTACCTTGTTCATCACTATCTACAAAAATATTTAATTCGAGCATGATTTTTATTTTTGGTTGGATTCGACACCCACCAGGTTCCACAGACTCGTGCCAACTCTGAAGTCCTGATGCTCTGGTGGGGCGGTCATCTCGAGGGTGGCCTCCTACCTTGGGGCAGACTCACTCAATGTGATAGGTAAGGTAGTCCAAATGGTCGGGGACCACCTAGTGTTGTTTGTTGGTGACCAGGTTCTAGACATTCCTGGTCCTTCATACCATGTTGTCTGAAGCTCAAGAGGATTCTCTTGGAACTGAGGTGAATAGGGGAGTGTCTTAGCAACGGTTCCCACAGATGACACCAAATGTTGTCGCTCGGATTGGCCGAGGGCAACAGAGTCAATCTGCTCCTGAGATCTGGGATGGAACCGAGGGCTTCAGGGCTCTGAGGACTTCGAGAGGGTGCCGAAGCCGAGGTCTGGTTGAGGCTTGGAGGGGTGCGTCGAGGCCCAAGATTGGAGGCTGAGGCAGACTACCTCCTTGAAGACTGAAGAGGCCGAGGAGTAGTGGCAGAGGTGGATGATCTCAGAAGGGTTGGTGTCGAAGTTAAGCTGCTTGTTTGTGCGTATGAGGGATCCGAGGGAGCTTTGAGAGGTTGCTCTGCAAGGAAGAAGGTGTCAGAAGCCTTGGGTGAAGACCAAAGGCGGGGACTCAGACGACCAAGTTAGTATTCGCACAAGGCAAGTAGCTAGTCCGGTGCAAGAGCGCCTGGATGAAGTCACTTGTAAGCACCAAGTCCTTGGTAATGAGAATACCAAGAGTTTGTTAAGTTCTAGATCCCTTACCTTGTGGGAGGTGCCTTGTATTTATACTTGGAGCTGCCTGGAGGTAGTTGGGCTTGGATTGCCTAGATGCGAGTTGTATGAGGGCGAGGTGCGATCATCTGATGAGGCCACGCGGCATCCCGCGATTGGGCCAGCATGGTCCATATAGAGTGGCCCCGTACACTTCGTGATGCATCCCTGATGGCACTTACTGGCTTGACACGTGTCAACCCCGTATTGGTTCAGTCAAATGTGCCTATATCACTTATCTATACTTGTTTTAAAATGTTTTGAGTGTAAGTAAAATCATGAAATTTATGATATGGAATGCAAGGGGTTGCAATAACCTCGATATTTGAGGCGAGTATGCAAAATCCAAAATCCTGATATAATTTTCTTATTGAAAACTAAACTCAAAGGTGACCGACCACAATGCATCTCTAGCCAAGAGGTTGAGGTACCCTAAATACACCAGTCAACCAGTACAAGGAAACTCTGGGTGGGGGGGGGCTCTTATGTTGCTGGAAGTAGGATTTTGCACTCCAAATTTTATATCAAAATGATCATTTCATTTCTCCATCTGTGAAATCTTAGCAAGCAACTTAGTGAATTTTAGTTTATGGTCATCCCCATAAGAGCAAAACAAAAGAGATTTGGCAAACACTTAGTGAATTAAATGCTTTAAAGTTGTCACAATGGGTATTGACTGGAGACTTCAGTGATATAATTCTAAATAAGGATTATGAAGGTCAAAGATGTTAGACAGTTATGCCCTTATCTCCAATCAGATTGTTGTATCTTTTGACATTTATAGTAAATGAATAAAGTACATAATTGATTTATGTCATTGTGATGTGTTTCTGTGTAATACCCTTAAACTAGACACTTATGAAACTCGTGTTGACACTGATGTACCGCCAAGTTGGTTGGGGTGGCTTGTCTCAGCTACCTGGGTGAGACCTGATGTACAAGCAATGTGGGTTTTCTTGAAACTCTGAACCAGACCAAAATTCCAGTATTGCCCTGGACCTTGGAGATAGATGGACAAAATTGGAATGTTACACCTGACCCCTAGACTCGATTATGGTACTGCACTTGGTGTCGGATCGGGCTGTCTTTGATATGTCAATCAGTGAGATCCTTAGAGGGGGTCAAAACCTGGGTATGTTGGGATAGTTCGAGAATTCATCTGAGTGGGCGATCATAGGGACAGGATCCGCCCCTTTGTCGGACAAAGTGAATGATCGGGGATGCACTCTCTTTAATGGAAACCTAAACTGGCGGCAATTGATTTCAACCGTTCAAATTTGTTTTTGCAAAATATATTTATATAGAGATATACATATATATATATATATATATATATATATATTATGGTTTCAAAATGTTTTGCAAATTTAATTCCCGTGATCCATTTGAGTAAAGAAAGTTTGATCATTATGGGCTGAGAGGTTAAGTGTAAGACCATAGAGGGTAATACTTGATGGGCTAATCTTGCATTTTCCCACAGTCCTTGGGTTTTCATAAGGTGGTTGGACCCAAGGACCATTTAGTGCAAATGTTGGGCCCATTAAGAGTCCACAGTGATAGACTCAGGGGTTCACTATCTCCTAAGTGAATTCGGCCAGGCCTTGTAAGAAAGGTTGCGCTGAACCCATGTGGCTGATGTGTAGATCAATGTTTGGATCCCACGCCAAACAAAGAGAGCCAACTGGGCAGTAGGTTAAGAGGTTAAGTGAGCACATAAACTTAATGGGCCTAAAGCCCAATTCGAACTGGGTTAATTAGATTAATTAAATAGGGTCAGATCTAGGTTCAGATCAGCAGATAAGGATAAGAGGATAAGTCTTATCCACTTAAAGAGTCTAGATTCAAATAAAGATTTGGATCAGGAAACTCCTAATTTGATTAGGATTA